TATTGCCAGAAACTTGTTACTTTCTACAAGTTCTACTTAGTGATTGTTATCTCTAACATGAACTCTCAGAATTTGAGATATTTAAGAGAGTATTCCTTGCAACAAAATTCCAACATTTTTGAATTAAAACTTTTCTGTTTAAAACTAATTCTTACATAGCACCCAGTATATAAAACAGATAGAGGCAAGATCTCTCTGATCAAATTTTTGAAGTGTTTCCTGGAGCTCACACACTCAGCCTCTTCGTATCTTTCTCCGCCTAGAGTCCCTGAGCCTCTCCCCAAATGTTGTTTCCTCATAACACAGTTCAAAGACAGATTGAGAAATTAATATTATTTGAATGAAAATGGTGTGATGGATACATTTGCTTTTGTTCTGATTGTGAAAGAATGCATTCAATACTACAATTAATGCTATTATATACCTATGCTATAGCTATCACATTAGCTATAAGTTTTCCTTGAGTTTTGGTTTAATTGTAGAACTGCTTTTCTGTCTGTGATGTGCTGGGAGTTTTAAATCTTGAATGGCTTTTGGATTTTGTCAAAATCTTTTTCTGCATGTTTTTAGATGATCATATACTTTTTCTCCATTTTCTGTTAACATCATGTATTTTATATGTTAATTTTCAAATGTTTACCTTTGAATACCTGGGATAAATCCTTATGATCATAAAGTATCATATTTTAAAAACATTTATTGATTTAACCTATTATTGGATTCAGAATTTGTGTATCTATGTTTCTGAAAAGTATAATTGTACCCTTTCCTTCTCTCATAACACTTTTATCAGTTTGTCTATGAGAATTAGTCTTGTGAGTTGGGAAGTACCCTTATTTTTCATGTATTACATTGGATATTTGCATGTACTTTTTCTCCCTTGATCAGTCTAGGGAAGAGATAATTAATTTTATTACACTTTTTCACAAGTTGACTTTTGGCTTTCTTATTTTTCTTTATGTGCCATTTTTTCTAGTTCTCTTATCTTTATTATTTCCTTTTTATGCCTAATTTAAATGTATTTTTTCTTCTATTTCTATTTTATTAATGTGGAGATTTTGATTCTTAATTTTAGACCTTTCCTCTCTATGTATAATTTTAATATTAATATTTTTGTATTATTGAATAATTCAACTATTCTACCTAAGCAAATTAATGCAGAAGCAGAAAATCAAATACCACACCTTCTTACTTAAAAGTGGGAACTGAACATTGTACACACACAGACAAAAAGATGAGAACAATAAACACTGGGGATTCCAAAAGGTGGGAGGGAGGAAGAATTGATAAAGTACTTACCAGGTACTATGTTCACAACTTGGGTGACAGGTATATTAGAAGCCTAAACTGCAGCCTTCGGTAAAATACCTATGCAGCAAACCCGTAAAAAGAAAGTCTGCAGGATACATTTACAAAATCTAAAAAAAAAAAAAAAAAAAAGAAATGAATATAAAAGGAAGCTTTGGATAGCCAGTTATTACTACTAAGTATCTCTTTGAAATGTAATAAAAATAAAATCCATACCTGTGATAAATATTAAAGATTACTTTTATTTTTTCAAGATAATTTTAAAAGGATACATTACATTATTTTGTTGTTCAATTCATGTTTCCTTTCCATCTCCTTCCTTAACCTAATCCACTTTATCTACTCCAGTCTTAACGGTCCACTGTTTCTAAATCAAAGAAGACACTGTTGGCTAAGACGAAAAATGTTTTTATCTTAATGTAATTTAGAATTATGTAGATGCTATCATTAAACCCTCGTATTTCAAAGGGCAAGAGTGAAAACGAGTTTACCATGTTAGACAACTGAACTCATATCAAATTAATAAATAATAATCAAAATTGTTTTCTCTTGTGGTATCAGCTTTATATTGCTTTGTTAAAGTTAGAGAAGGAATTTTTGGACAGACAGAACATTACTTCCTTCCCACGGCACATTATTTAGTTAATTCTGGATCAGGCTCACCATTGTCAGGCTTAGATAGTATGGTTTTAAATCAGATTTTGAGCAGTCAATATTTACAGGACGATATTCAGCATTTCTAATCCAGTAGGGTTTTTGATCCTTTATGCTTTTCCTTGAATAATGGGCTGCGTGTTGTTAAACATAATGGCATTCTATTTTGTGTCACTGGCAAAAAGCCCTATCTGACTTCGAACTTACAAAAATAGACAGAGTTCCTTTTATTATATACTGTAAGAGAATTTGGAAGATATTTTATAAAATTAACAACTATATTATAAAAAACAATAACTGCATTGACTTTATTCTTAGAAACAAGAGAATATTTTGTAATCGGGAATATTAAGAATGTAAGTTCAAAAGGTCACTGTTTTATTCTGTACTACCCAGCTGTTTAGGGTGATTTTCATGAATTTATGTCAATCCTGAAAAGGAAGTATTTGTCAAGAATGTAATAAGTTTTGTGGGAGGCCATTTAAAAGAGTCTTATTGTTATAAGACTGTCTAGTCTTTTTTACTAGGGATTAGAGGAGTACACAAAGGAACAAAAATTAAGGTATGAAAGAAACACTATATTTTCAATTGGTAATAGATATCTATGCCAACATTTCATATCCATGAAATTATAATTAATGTTTATTGGGTACCTACCATATGCCAGATACTGTACTAAAACATTTTAATGAATTATCACTTTTGATTTCATCTATATAACAATTTGTTGCATACTCTTGTTATGATGGCAGTAAGATTTGAATGAGTTAGGTAATTTGCCTAGTTTGTCCAAATGCATGATGAATAAGGATTAATTGTACCCAGATAAGTCGGACTGCAGAAACCAGACGGATAACCATGTTACCTCTTTATTCTGACTCTCTACCTTCAGTTTCATGTGCAAAAAATAGGAATTTGCGTATAAATCAAGTCAACTTTACCAGATAGAAAACACAAAATCCCAAACCATTCAGATTATCAACTTTGATTATCTCCTTCCTTATGCTGTGCCTTTTTAACATTCCAAAATATAAGCATTTGTTCTCTAACACAATATAAATAAACTAGGAGGTATTTAAACATTTTGAGGAATCATTTCTTCTTAATTTTATCTCTAGCATCTACAACAGTACTTGGCAAAGTGTAATTTTGAGCCAAATTGCTAAAATATAAATTTCTGAAATATACTTAGACATTTCTATAGTTACAAAAGAGGCATAATGTATAGAGAAATCACAACTAATTAATGAAAAATATTTAAAAATTAAAAAAACTAAATTAAGCTAAATCACAGACTTCCAAAGACATACAATTTATTATACATATGTACCATGCTTCCAAATGCAGGTGTAGTGCACATATATCCTATGATTTTATTTCAGATTGAAATATTTGCAAATGACAGTCTCTTTCACTAGAAGGCAAGCTAATAAGTATTTGTGGAATAATAAAAGTAGGCTAAATGTCTCTCTTAATAATGTATATAAAACAACTTATATTAAATTATAATTTTCAAAGGAAGACACCTCAACCCTTAAGCATACATCTGACTAGGGTATATGCTAATTTCCAGAATGGGTCAGATTATCCATCAGAGAGCACTATATATGGGATAAAGTAAATATAGTTCAAAATAATATGTGATAAAGAACAGTCACACTTAATAGCAAAGTTTGAGACTGTGATGAAACTAATAATCAGCAACATTTATCTTGATCAATACGTGTTGAGTGCTAATATAAGTGATTTAGAGGGATTACCCTATTTGAGCCTTATGATGGATTTTATGGTAGATATAACATTAATAACAAGGAGTTCTATTTTTGCCAATGGAAGAAATAGACATCTAGAGAGGTTAAGTAACTTGCCAGAGTCATACAATTAGGAAACAATAGTCAGGATGTGAAATATATCATATTTCTCTAGAACTTACACACTTCACTCTAAGATATTGTCTAGAATTAAGAGTATCAATTATACAATGTTATTTAAATTCAAATATTGGAATATGTTATATCTAAGCAGGTAGTTAGATATCAGAAAAGAATCCTGAAACACTGGAATTCAGGGGACTGGGGGCTTGTCCCAGTTCTGAACAAATTAGCTTTGCCTTATCAACCAACTCACTTATCTTTTGTGTTTCTCAATTTGCCAATTTTTTTTTTTTTATCAAGAAGATGCACTAAAACAATTTATTTCTTCTCAAATACTCGAGGTTTGCAAATACCCAGGTGCAGCATAGGTTGTTTTCTCCTGTATTTGATTCTGCTGCAGGCTTCTCTTCAATCCCTAGTACACTGTGATATTTATATCAGTAAGGATGAAGATGAAAGTCACTCATGGTGCTAAATTGGATTCATAACTATTGCTAATACAAATGAAGACAACTTCATGATTCAAGACTGTGCCTGAGAAGACTAAAATAAAAACTTAAATTAGACTGAGGATTTCAGACTTCAGCCAACCTAGGTGCAAAGATTAAGGGTGGTGATATGATACATCTAAGATGATACATTTTCTATGAAATAAAAATTTTGAAATATATCAAACTATATCTTTTTCTTATCATGTGGTAAATAACATTTATATTTCCTAAGTAGTTTCTTACACTTAATATTAAATAACCCAAAAAGTTAAAGTGACAAATTTCAGCAATTCATCAAAAACCATATTATGTAAATAGAAATATTTTGTAATCTGAAATTTTGAAAAAAAAAAGGAAAATTTCTAAGATGGCTTAGAAGCAATTTATTCTCTGAAGAAGATATTCTATATGTTGCCAGGGAGATAAATAGCATTCATATAGTGAATAAAATTTATTACACTTTCATTTATGGAATATATCTTATTTTGCTTATTCTTTGATCCCAATCTATTCATCTCTCTTTCAGAGATCTTAACCAAATATATATTTGTAAATTTTAGCATAATCTCTGGTAGACATCAATTTTAACATTAGCTAATATTTATAGTATTCTTGCAACAGAGAAATCAAATGGAATGAATTTATTTCATATACTCAGCTGGGTCTCTTCCTTCTGACTCATGCAGAGAAACAGCCCCACCACCCACCCTGACAAATGCCTGAAGCCCACATGCAGCCTGCAAACATCACTGCCCACCACAGACCACAGAAGCAAGAAGCCTGTTTCCTGTTACTTGCCACCACTCAGCAATGCCCACCCCATATGTAAACAGGTCTAGAATGCTCAAAATTGTTATTTCACTGCTGCAACATTGGAGCTGTCCATCATCTCGGACACACACTTTTGTAAACCAATAACAAAGGATCAACTTTCTTCTAGGTCTGAATTGAATACTTTGAGGCTAAAGCATCTTAACTCATTTAGGGGGTGGAAAATATTAACCCAAATAAGCCTTACCTAACTACAATGCCCTGCTGCTGCTCATCTCCCTTTATTCGTTTGTACTCATACCCAAAAGAGGTTGTGATTTTTTCCCTTTCATTCAATAACAATTTTCCTTGATTCTTAGATAAGACCATTCCATAATGTACTCCTTAATTGTTCTGAATTTCTTTCAGAGAAAAACTGGAAAAGACATTAAATCATGTTGAAATATTTGACTGACTTTCATCTAGGAAAGAATATAAAGTTAAATCTCTACACTAAAATCTAAACAAAATAAAAATAAATTTCAGTAAGACCCAAACATTTCCTTTTAAAAATCTATATCACGTTATATATATAACTGAGGAATGTAATAATAATTTTGATGTGTAGAACTGAAGACAATACCAAGTAACCCTCAAAATGTAAATTCAAGAAACAAGATAGTTATGTTAGCATGCATTAAAATAAAAATATCTGTGTGACAATATATGCTGTAGAGAAAATTAAACAACAAGTGAAAAGGTTGGGTAAATATTTGCAATACATATTGATATAGTTTGGATTTCTGTCCCTGCCCAAATCTTATGTCAAATTGGAAGAGGGGCCTGGTGGGAGGTGATTGGATCATAAGGGCGGATTTCCCCCTTGCTGTTCTCATGATAGTGAATGAGTTCTCACAATATCTGATGGATTAAAAATATGTGGCACCTCCCCGCTTGCTCTTTCTCTCCAGTCACCAGTCACCATGTGAAGAAGGTCCTTGCTTCCCCTTCTGCCATGATTGTAAGTTTCCTGAGACCTCCCAGTCATGCTTCTTATTAAGCCTGTGGAACTGTAAGGCAATTAAACCTCTTTTATTCATAAATTACCCAGTTTCAGGTAGATCTTTATAGTAGTGTGAAAACAGACTAATGCACATGTACATGAGTTTACATATAAAATACATTTTAAAAGATCTAAAATTTTACTCTTAAACATAAAAAACTCAATGTAAAGAAACCAATATATAAATAAATAGATAGCAGCAGATAAATAGAACTGGCCAGTAATCATTTAGAAGACATACAACCTCACTAATAATTAGGAAAATGCACATTAAAACAGAAACATTTTTTCATTCCATATATTAATGAAATTTGAAGAAAAAGATGGATAATATCAATTGTTAGTAAAGGTGTCAGAAAACAATTTGAAAGCAATGTTCAAATTATTGAACTAAAAACATAAATTGGCCAGATTTTTAGTATGAAAATTTGATTTTTAGTATGAAAATTTGACTTTAAAAAGTTTGTTAAGAACATTAATTATCTAGGGTGTGCATTGCTTGATTGGAGGTTCTAGATCTTAAATTTATTTTCCATTATTATCTCTACCTGGTGTTGTTTTATACACATACATGCACACACAGAGTTGGATTTTAATAAATAATTTCTGAATTGAATTCTTTTGTCAAAAAACATTTTCTATCCTCCATTTAGATGACATAAAAATGTTATTCTGGATAATATGTTATGTTGACAGTTACACCTGTGATTTTCTTGTTACTGAAGCAAAACAGAAACATTTGGAATGCATGTGCTTATTGTCTGAGGAATTAACTCCAAAGAACAGAGACCTAGCTTAAGTCATTCCTAAAATAACTCCTAATAAAGCATTTGTTTTCAAATATTTTTTCTTATCCAATTTCCTTCAATTTCTATGTTTAAATTCCAATACATACTTTTATTACTACTACCTGCACATTAGCAAGCATTTATTATATATCTACTATGTTTCATGTATTTTGCTATGAATGATAGAGGAAGAAAAATGGATACAACATAGCTTAGGCCTCAAAAAACTAGCTGGGGAGGCAGCATGTGTAAAACAAACATGGATAGAAGGATAAAAGGAGGTAAACACTAAAAGAGGTTAAAAAATAAAAGTTTAGCGAAAGCACAGGAAGGACAAAGACTAATTCCAACTCTGATGGGTTGAAAAAAATCTCATTGCGGAGTTGGCATTTCTTGTGCACATTACATAAGACTAATACTTAAATATCGTCTGGAAATTATAGGAAAAAATAGAATCACATGTTTTCATTTTTTATAACAATTTTCTCCCTTAAAAAGTTTCAAATAAATACAAATTTTATAAATTCCTAGAGGAGCTTATGATTTAATGGAATTCTTGAATGAATCCTTGATAAGATGAATAATTGTTCTCTGGCATTTCTTCTCTGAAAATCCAGATTCCTAAATGTGAGATAGTAAAATTAAGATAGGCAGATATAATGACCAGTTTGATGTTGAATGTTACTACTGAAGGTATTGATTGAGAATTTTTAAAAATTACTTTTAAGATTAAAGAAAATTTGTTAAAAAATTACTACGGCATTTAGTGCTTTGAATATGCATTATATTCATCAGAGTAACTAGAAAAAATGAAACAGTCTACATAAAGTGTAAATTATTATAATTATAATTATTAAATTGAGATGTAGTCTTGCTGTGTCATCCAAGCTGGAGGGCAGTGGCATGGTCTCGGCTCACTGCAACCTTTGCCTCCCTGGTTCAAACGATTCTCCTGCCTCAGCCTTCCAAGCATCTGGGATTACAGGTGCGCGCCACCACGCCCGGCTAATTTATTTTTTTGTAGAGACAGAGTTTCACCATGTTGGTCAGGCTGGTCTCGAACTCCTGACCTAGTGATCCGCCCACCTCAGCCTCCCAAAGTGCTGGGATTACAGGCGTGTGCCACCATGCCCAGTCAAATTACGATTACTTTTAATATATCTTTTGGTTATTCGGATTTGTTGGCAATGTTCCGTATTCCATGGCTAAATCTTTATGTATAAGTCACTGACACATGTGAAAGGCAAATATTTAACTCCACAAGTCCTCTGTGCCTTTGCCTCTGACACTTCAACTAATCCCTCCCTGTGGTCTTCTGTTTTGCCCTGTCTACCACTCTCCTGCTACATCTCCAAACACATACATAGCATTCCCCACCCGTGACACCGTGGTCATTTGAAGAAACTCGGAGTTTTATTCCGTTTTTCACTTTAAGCCGGCGAAGCCAGGGGCGGTGGCTCACGCCTGTAATCCCAACACTGGAGGCGGAGGCGCGCGGATCACGAGGTCAGGAGATTAAGACCATCCTGGCTAACACGGTGAAACCCCGTCTCTACTAAAAATACAAAAAAAAAAAAAAATTAAGTGGGCATGGTGGCACGCGCCTATAGTCCCAGCTACTAGGGAGGCTGAGGCAGGAGAATTGCTTGAACCTGGGAGGCGAAGGTTGCAGTGAGCCGGATTGCGGCACTGCACTCCAGCCTAGGCTACAGAGCGAGACTCCATTTTTTTTTTTTTTAAACAAAACAAAACAAAACAAAACAGGAAAAATGTGGGCCATATAAGTGTATGAGTTTGCTTGAGAGGGGACAAACATGGTCAGCTAGATGAGGGATGAAAGGAGAAGTAGGGCTGTATGGGCATGGAAAGTGGTTCAGAGGAAGGAAGAAGGCTGGAGACAATGGCCTAGATAGTTTCTACTGTTCTTCAACCACGAAATTGCAATTCAATGGCTACCTCCTCTATGAAGTCCTCCCTGATTGTTCCATCTTCTATTTCATTTTCCACACACCTTTATAAAAGCAAGTATCTTGTTTTAGTTACTAGGACAAAGAAAGTCTAATTTTCTTAGCAGGAGAATTCAGCCCCTGCCCTTAAAAGAGAGAACGTTTACTTATAAGTTGCTAGAGTTATGACCTGAGATGCTCTTAAGTTGAAGAAATATTCCTAAAGGAAGATTCCTTAAGCCTGGCCACTTTTTCACTATTGTTGAGTGGCAGATGCAAGTTGAGGGCCAGCACACAATCACCTGAGCCCATAAAGGATATTAGAGAGGAGGAAGGGAGAAAGTGGGGTAAGTGGACGAAGTAGAGAGATAATGGGCCTAGAAAATAAAACGGAATCCTCACTCTTAAAGAAGTGATTACAGATATAGAAAAATAAAATACATTCCACACCAGAATGCTTCCAGAGTTGCAGTTGCTTTGGTGATAATGGTGAAAGGGTTGGGACATGATGACATGTTGAGTCCAGTCTCTAAGTAGTTTTATGTTCAATACCAGCTTTCCACATGGGCTCTATACTTGTAATTGCTTATTTACAGACTCTCCTCTTTCAAATGTAAATCAACTAAGTTAAGAACATGCGTGCATGTGTGTTTTTTTCCTTTAACATCTCCAGTAACTCATATACTACACATCGTATTTATTCAATAAAAGGTGGTAGAATGAATATAAAAAGGAATGGTATAAATTGTGCCTAAGCACAGAGTGAGAGACTGAGTGAGTTGGTCTGGCCTACCAGAGCTGGTACTAATGCAGACTCCAGACTAGTCAGTGATTCTAGAGTATGTGCCCTGTTGCTCCCACCTGATTCAAAGGATAGCCTGTAACAGCTAAGTCTTCATTTCCCTCGTTCATTAATCCTGAGAAAGAGTAATAGAGAGAGAAAGAACAAGAAGGAAGGCAGGACAGAAGGAAAGAAAGAAAGAAGGAAGGGAGGAGGGAAGGAGGGAAGAAAGGAAAGAGACAGAGAGAGAGAATAAACAAACTAAATATAACGGGGCAGGTATGTCTTTATTGCCTGCCTGAGACTACAAAAAAGCCACTATTTTCTCTAGTCCTTTTCCAAACATTTGTCATCCAATTACCATCCAATGCCAAAATACAAATACTCAAGCATTTCCTATTATCTGTCACCATGGCTTATCAAGTTTGGAAAATATATGGCATAAATTATCGTGCATGTTCAGAAAGTCCATATTCTCTATAATAAAGAAATGGAAAGCCTGTCCTCTGTGTGCTTTATTCAACTGATCAACAGTATCAATACTTCAAAGTTCAAAGCTAATATTTGGAAGACTTTTAGTATCCTTGTCATTAAGAAACTCAGAACAAATTACCTATTACAATAAGATTTTAAAAGTTAAGTTCAAGTTATAGACATAGTAAGCATTGAAAGATTTTACTCTAAAATCATACTG